AAGTCAAGCGTTATGAGGCTTCTCTAACACAGAAGGCTGCATGTGCAAGCTGCAAGCAAAGTAACATACGTTGCATATCAGGCCAAGGCACTTCTGACTAACCCTGCAGCCTCGCTGTGGAGACCTAAAAGATGAGCGGCCAGGAGGGTATAAAGATCAAGGATCTCTAAAATTATATCAGGGGTAACCGCTCAAAAGCTTCGTGTTGTGTTTACGGTTTGGATCTGTGGCACTACTTGTTAAATCTTCCCAAGTCATTGCCTGAGGAAGTAACCGCTCTCTGAACTGTCAACAAACACACACACACACACACACACACACACACATTATTTGGATCCCCTCTCATGCAGCTGGGCCTCGGGCTGTATTCATAATGCTTTTAAGTGAAAGCCAAAGAGCAAAAATTCACGGGACTGTGAAGGTGCTCTAAAGCAAAATCTTTATCCATGTAATAGAAATAAAGCGGGTTGTAGGCCAGAAGCTGGAAGCTTTATGAATACAGCCTTAACAAATGGTTAAACTGAATTCAGCCACATGCTTTACGAGTTTTACCTACAACTCGTGATGCACACTTTCAAATGCATCTGACTTTTTTAGAAAAGTTAAATATTGTTTTGTTTTGTCTTCTCATGGATTCTGTCTCAACAACCACCAACATTCCCAACAAATGTATAAATAACATCGTTGTGATTCTGAGAGCAGTGTAGGACTTCTTCTTAAAGCCACCAACCATAAACTGTCCCCCCCCAAAAAAAGCAGCTTGGCACATTCAGGCTGAATCCCCACTAAACTTAGAAGAAGAAAAAAAATGGCACTTCCCCTCCAGGCTGATATTTATGTCACAGGTTTACCGAGTGCAGTTCTTATTGTGGCTCTATTATTGTCCTAACGCTTGACTTTTCAGGTATTACAAAATCCAAGACTTTTAAAATAAAGACATGATGTATTAATAAAAACTATAATAAAATAAAGACATTTTTCTCTTTGTACTATTCAAATAAATACTTTAACTCTACTTTTAAGTATGTCACAATTACATTCCCCCGGCCCTGAAGAAGTTTCCCTTCACTAAATAAAACTGTATTCTACCGTTGTCTACAAAACGGCTAACAATAGACTCTATCGATTAATTTGTCACAGACGCTCCACCATGACACTTTGATATGAATAAATAAGAGGATTTACAGAGTTTTCTTCGTGTTACACCTCGTCGTTCTTCAACATCTATGTGAAACTCTTGGAGAAGCACAATCAGCTGTGTGACGCTAAAAACCATCTTTACTGCTACATTACCCTGAAAAGGACTCCAGAAAGAAGTGTAGTGGTGAGGGTGGGGGGGATGACTCAAGAAATTTTACTTTAGCGCCACACCGCTGAATCTGCAGCTCCAGGAACATCCCACTTTCTTTAAATCCCATGGCTTATATTTGCTACGGCGTAAAAGACGAAATAAAGCAGATGAACCAAACGCTATGTGACTAAATGGATGACGGGGTTTGAAACAAAAGCTGGATGAATGCATTCCTATTTTTTGATTCTCGGGATGTTCATCTAAACCAAAAGACTGAGCCAGCTTATTCAGCCTGTACTCACTGGTTTTAGTGAAGCAGATTAATTAGTTTCTGTTGCTATTTGGAAAAACTGAAACCACCTTTTTCCACTGAGCCCCAACTCAGGTTTGTCAGTTACCTCCCACAAACGGTAACACAGAAAAGCACTGCACGTACAATACGATACAAACGAGATTACAATTAGCAGTCGGACAAAGAGGAGGGGGGTCTGGCGGGCTTCATTAGCAAAACCTGCACTGCTAGAGCTTCAGGTTTGGACCTCTACACTCACCTTTGATGAAGCATGGATGATCAATCGGCAGATTGATCACATCTTTGTTGGTGAGAAATTTGAGTAAAAGGGATGAATGATGTGCAGTTAAATGCACTGGTATACTTGATATAAATCTAGCAGGTTAGGAGTGGGCAATGGGTGGACAGACGATGAGATAACAATGACATCGTTATGCTAACATTTTGGTCTCGATTATGTTCTTTTCCCCCGTTGGTCCATCCTAGTTCCACGCCATGCTCGTCTCCGGCCACCCCCACCTCATTCCGTCCATCGGTCTCGGATCCGGTGTCGGCTGGTACCCTGCAACGGACCCCGGTGTCCTCCCCGTTGGGCTGGGGAATCAGAAGAGACCTCCCGGCCTCCAGGTGGCGTTGTGGACCAGGCAGGTGCAACACTGTATGGCTTGCCACCAGCTTTGGCAGTTCAAGGGCTCCACATTGGCTTTGGCCATCATCACTTTGGAGCTGGAGGCACTCACACCTGACTGGTTCTCCATGTTAACAGATCTGCTGAAGAAAGCACAAGTAAGAAAAAGCGCCTGCTACTTTCTCTGGTCACGTTAAACATCTTAACGCAAGATATTCAGGGATTAACACCTACTACAGCCCAACCAACAGTTTCATGTATTCTGCAATTAGTGGTTTTTTTTTTGTTTTTTGGTTGTTTGTTTTTTTTTTAGCTCAAGTAGATTTTACCGCAAACGTGATCATGGAAAACATGGGCAAAAACTTGGACAGTATTTGTCGGTTTGTTGACCTCATGCAGAGAAACGTAATATATGTTGAAAATCTAGCATTTTCAGTCCAGGCACTCCATGAGTGGTAGCAAAGCAGTCTATCTGAAAATCCAACTGGAAAAATCCCAAAAGCTTGCCCATAGCTGTAAATCTGCAAGCTGCTTTGCAACCCTGTTTTTGTTTGGTTTTTTTGTTTAGTTTTTTTTCCCCTGATCGAATCAATGTCATGTCAGTCACTGATGTCCACTGTGCTCTCAGCTTTTCATCTATGCATAAGAAATAAAGCTGAGGCCCTAGGACACAGCCAGAATGACAAACATTTGATCGTAGGAACTGTTGCACGTCAGGTATTTCTATTTGTATACCACCAATTCACAAAAAGCTTAGCCTCGAGATGCTTTAAATCCTAGAGTATTGGATTGAACTCTTATTTGCTGCCATGTCAAATCTTTAATTAGAAAAGTAACTTATTAGCAGTAACCCTGGCAACAAGCCTCTACAGGAAGTAACTAACAAAATGTTGTTTAAACACTATATGCGTCTTCATTGTTTGTATCCTTTCGCAATTTCCATTTAAAAGCACACTAACACACCAAAGTCACAAGAAAGACTTTCCTACTCTGGCAGTGGGACCATCTGAAGTATAATAGACTAAAGTAGAATCAACAATATAGTCTGTACGCCATCATTTACATCATGCTTGTCTCTTCTTTTTCTTGTTCATCTCACACACATTGTCATGCTTCTTCTTGTTCCCATCTCCCAGGTTGACAGTGCGGAGTTCATCCACTGCAAAGAGGTGGTGGACGAGTACCTGCACAGCCTGGAGTTCTCCCTGACAACCAACGCCGTCTACATTTTCGACAGCACTCGGATCCAGGAGGAAGAGCGAGCCCAAAGCCCCACGCGGCACTTACGAGAGTCCGGGAGGGGCCGGGGAGATGGACAGCAGGGGGACTCGGACGAGTATTACGACGGATTCCAAAATCTCTATAACGAGGAAGCGACTCCCGGGACAGAGGGGAGCAATCACGATGATTCGTTTGAGCAGGAGGACATCTCGTCGTGCCCCCCACTGCACCCTGCTGTCAACTAGGAGGACATTTTATTCACACCGTCCACCTTTCGTCTACAAGGACATTGTGGGACCCAGATGCTCCCCGCTAACCATAACATTTCAAGATTTTGTTTTGTTTTTCCTAAAAGAGTCGGCTAATGTAAAATTTAGTATTATTTTAGTTTCTTCTTTGCACTTGTCCTCACTGACTCTGAAGGTGTCAAGGTTTTTGTTTTGTTTTTTTGGGGGGGTTTTTTGGTGGTGGGGGGGGGTCTTATTCTGATCTTGTGGCTTGTTCTTGGCAGCTGAGCTGAAGCTGTGGGGAATCACTTACGTTACCAAAATTAGATTTGAATGTTTCTCTTTAGTGCAAAGTTACTGTTCTACCTGTAAAGGCCTTCTTCCCCTTACTTTACAACCTTCGTTTGGTTCACATCAACCCCAGATTTTTGGGGGGGTGTTTGTTTGTTTTGGGGTTTTTTTGTTTGTTTTTTTTTAAGGCCTGTTTATTTGCTTCTTTTCCAAGTTTGACGGTGCCCCCCCTCCCGAGCCACATAGCACTTTGATATTAAAAAAAACGAGCTTTTCTTTTTTTTTTTTTTTTTATACAAATAATTATATATTTTTAACCTCTTTTTATTATTTTAATCTTAACTCTACTAAAGTTTTCCAATTTTGTTAAATGTTTATTTAGAAAAGTTACATTTTTACTTAAAAGCTTTATTTCATGACTTAATTATGCAAATGTTTTTATTAAATTAAGTTTCAGCCTGAGTTGGTTTAAATTATGCAGCTGTTACATATCATATCTGAGTACCTTTGGGAGATTGATTCAACACTAGAGCAGAATAATAAAAATGGTGATTTTTGACGGCATGAGATTATCTGATTGATGCAGCATCAGTGATAAATTAGCAATATTTTTTTTTAATTGTGTACTGTATGATAATCTAGGTTGACCTATGGGATTATTCTTTCCTCTGATGTGTAAACTGATAAAGGCTGATGGATGGGAACGCAGCGTCTCTTGAGGAACTTTACCTCCACCGCTCTACCAATGCTGGAGAGACTGATCTTTGATTTT